GAAAAAAGTCACAGGGTTTTAAATCAGGACTCCCAGCTGACCACTCATACATAAAATAGTGAGAAAATTGTCTGAATAATCTCACAGTCTGTCTGTATATCTATCTATATATATATATATATATATATATATATATATATATATATATATATACACGTTTCATTAAATAATATAGACAAGTGGTGTCTATTTATTTTATGTCATTTTTTTTCGTAACGTCTGATAAGTTTAATAACATTATCGTTGAACGAAGAAAGAAATTCACAATATTGATCCATATTTTTTTTTAATACAATCTAAGCTTTCGGCTGACATAAGCCATTATCAAAGATGTCAATTACAACATATTAAGCAATGTACGGACAAGACAGTGATGATAGTCTGTCATTGTTTACATACATGATTTGTAAGCAACGATAAACACATGCATATATATATATATATATATATATATATATATATATATATATATATATATATATATATATATATGAAGGGACGAATACAGAGACCTGATGCACCGAGGGCCACAAGGTTTCCAAACGACCCTCCGCATGTTTTGAATTCAGAGTTGTCCTTCTCCTAGACCAGTTACCATCCAAGGCTATAGAACCCAGTCTGTTCTGCTATTTTACACATAGCTGGAAGGAGAGGAAGAGGATTCATACCTTCCCCAAGGGTATATTCACGTAAGTGAATGTAATGGATTCGACTGGAATTCGAACTCGGCTCTCCGATTCCTCACTCCAAGCTGATATCTATTACTCCACTGTGCCTCCTTCAAAAAGTGTGGATGGTCCTGCACGAAACCTTCACCACTATAATCAAATCTCATGTGCCGGTGTCGGGCTGTCGGTTTCCTGGAAACTGATCTGCTTGACCCTCATACGTCGAATCTCGACGGGAGAGTCGACTATATATATATATATATATATATATATATATATATATATATATATATATATATATATATATATATATATATATGTGTGTATGTGTGTGTTATTGGACTGGATCGAGATCGATCACAGCGTGCGGCACCTTTAGAAGCACCTGAAAATCCTACCACGGATTGACCCATGCATTGTGAGTGAAAATGTGTAGACGGAACTCTTGGGCCGTCGACACACACACACACACACACACACATATATATATATATATATATATATATATATATATATATATATATATATATATATATATATATATATATAAGCATTTTTTCTGTGAAGCCATTTGAAATGAGTTACTTATCAGACGCAGCTAAGAAATATTCGAGACATTAAAGAAAGAATTAAATATGAATGCAGTCAAATGACAGAGGCAACTCTCCGACGGGTTTACCAATCATGCAGGCACCAAATTGAAATGGCTTTTGAAAGAGGAGGAGGACATATAAATAACAATTAAATAACGTGTAAACAAAATTGACATATGTGATTATACTTTTAAGAAATTATCCCTATGGCGCGCGACTTTTATCTCATCCTGGGTTCATATTCACCTCTTTATAGAGAGAAAATCAAAATAGTAAAGATGGAAAAGTACGAAGAAAAAAAAAAAGACAAAAATAAAATAAGGGAAAGAAAAGAAAGAATAATAAAAAAGGGAAAAAAGAAGATGATAGCAAAAGAAAAAAACAAGAAAGAAAAAGAAAGAAAGTATTGTAAAGGTAAAGGGTGAAAAAGGAAAAACAAAGAAGAAAAAAATAAAAGGGAAAAAATGAAGAGAAACGAGCAAACAAAAAAAAAGAAAAAAAAAAGTGAAAAAATAAATGATGAAGGAAACAACGAAAAAGCTAGATAAATATTCATTTCACGTGAGTCCAAATTATTTGGGGGGGTCATGGTGGCGGGAAATAGATAACCAGAATGATTTCACGCTTGCTCCTCGTTTCGTAGAATAAACAATTATTTTTCGACACCTCTGAAGAATCTTGAAACAATAGATACGCTAAGAGGCACACAAATACTAAGTATATATTGGCACAAAAAAATATATATATATATACAGGGTGTCCATAAAGTTCGTGTGCAAACGAACTTTATGGACACTTATATATATATATATATATATATATATATATATATATATATATATATATATAATATATATATGCAGTATATATATATATATATATATATATATACATATATGTATATATATTTACAATATATACACTATATATAATATATATACAATATAATATATATATATATATATATACAATAATATATATATATATATATATATATATATATATATATATATATATATATACATATATATACTATATATATACAATATATATATATATATATAGATAGATAGATACATAGATAGATAGATATATAGATAGATAGATAGATAATGCTACTGGTTAATATACACATACATATATGTACATATATCTAAAACACAAAAATATATATACACACGTACATACACATACACATACACATATATATATATTTATTTGTATAAAAAAATAAATCCAAGAGGATAGAATCCAGGTAGAACTCAATGTCCAGGACAGAGTAAAGATATAATAAAAAGGCTTAAACATCAGTAAACAATTCATCAGACCTACAAATTCAAATTTGTAGGTCTGATGAATTGGATCGTATTTACGATTCCAATGTAATAAATTATGACCGTGTAGTACTAGAGTTTAAGACTTTTTATTATATATATATATATATATATATATATATATATATACAATAGATACGCAAAGAGGCACACAAATGCTTACTATACTGCCATATAGGGAGAAAAAATCAAAAAGGTCCACGAAAAATTAACTCTCAGTCTATTATCGTAATTTTCTTCTTCACTTTGAACCGCGCATACAACGATTAATAACGAGTAAATAAAATTTTAATGCGTTCTATGATGTGATATATATATATATATATATATATATATATATATATATATATATATATATATATATATATATATGAAGAAATGCAGTTTTAAAGTGCGCTATATTTATAGGATAAAGTGCTCAATATCAGAGATCGAGTGTATGTAAATATAAATATAAAAGTGAACACTGAAGTCAAAACTCAGAGGCGACACGCTATTTCATACTGGACAATATCGTCAGGCCGCGAATGCTGGATATTTCTTTTTTTACTACGTTAATAAAACATCAAAAAACGAAAAAAAAAATAAAACAAAATGAAAAACAAGGAAAATAAGTTAAGCCAAAAGCATAAATAAATAACAAACAAACCACTCCCGCAAAATTAACCGTAAGAATAGATTACCCACAATGCACCACTGACCCATATATATATAAATAATACCGAGGAAATATCCAGCTTTCCCGGACTGACGATTGCGTCCAGCATGAAACAGCCTGTCGCCTCTGAGTGTTGACTTCCATGTTCATATATATATATATATATATATATATATATATATATTTATATATATGTATATATTTGATGAATAAAAAATATGGCATCATATTAAACATAAGATACAACAATATCCACGTTTAAAACATAAAATGTAAAGGTATCTTTCGACCGACACATTTTCAAACCCAATCGTCGGTAATCTAAAACGGAGTACTAACAAGAGAAATTTTTTATTAATACCGTAATAAAACCAGATGGTAAGGGGAAAAGAAAATTATTTTACCTCAAATCATGTAACTGTTCCCCCAAATAAGGCCAACTTAAACTTCATCTCCTGTTGTATATATATATATATATATATATATATATATATATATATATATATATATTACTATATACAACATGCGATACTCTGTCTTCGTCAGCCGCCAACCTGCGCAGGTAACACAGTTTCAGTGGCTAAGGCGGTACTGCCACCCCTGGCGCCAACAGCATATATATACACACACACACACACACACACACACATATATATATATATATATATATATATATATATATATATATTCTTATATACGCGTGATTGTGTCTGGCCCTTCTTTTTATGTGTGAATGTCCCTTAAACTTAATAATCTGATTCCTGGCCTTTCAATGAAATTGAACCCTGCCCTCCTGGTCCCAATGGGTGAAATAAGTAACATCAAATATGCCTTGAATATTTACTTTCAACTCGTATCATTTTTTTTCATGATTGAGAAGAACCTTAACGATCATTGCTCCCTGAAACCATACATTTTATCCAATTTCTTTACCCTCTTCGGATTCTTAATGGGATCTCTGCTTTTCTCTTTGCAGACCGACCTCCTCAATGCAACCACACCCAACCAAATGACCTCTTCGTCATTGTTTTTGCTCTTTCTGGTCATGCCCTGTCCTTTTATCTCCTCCCTGATATTCGAGCGCCCTTCTTGTCATCGCTTGATATCTGTGGTCAAGACGTGACTATCATTTTCCGCCTGGCTATATTGCCCCGAATTTCGGATTGAAACTTCGTTCATCACTTCCGCTAGAATAAAATATCCGGTAAGTCACGGTAGGGAAAGAAGCAAGGAATGTAGAAAGGAATGAAGAAGGCGGGAAGGTAGAAAAATGGCGGGAAAAATGGCAGGAAGAAAAACAATAAAAAAAAGAGCTGCCCTGGGAACAGATTCGTTTGGATGCTTTGTGTAATCTGATCACTGTCATATATGGACTTGCTCCCCTCCCAAAATATATGGAAACCCACCCGACCTAAATATATGGATTAGAATTTTACCTTGATGCGTGTGATTTCAGCACTGATTTGACTAAATCATTTTTATAAATTGCTTGCATGATTCCCTTATTTACGGCTTAACCTTTGCAGGTTATTTAAAGCCGGAAATATTCTAAGAACGTTTTTTAAGATATTCATGTTTTACAGAAAAATGTTTTACTAATTCACCCATAGCTGGGCGGACGTGTTCATTCATACTTTCCCAAAGTTATTTGTAGGTAAGTAAATATAACAAACCCGACTGGAATTGGAACCCGGCTCCCCGATATCCAAATCCGAGCTGTTATCCACTACACTACCGCACATCCAAGCTTACAACACCTGGTATTTCCAAGTGGTCACCCATCTAGGTACTGACCAGGCTTGATGTTGCTCAACTTCGGTGATCGTACGAGAACTGGTGTTTTAACCTGGTATGGCCATAAGACCTTCATATTGTATTGTATTGTATTGATGCGGCATTCACCCTGGGCGGATTGAGCCGGCTTCTTCCTGTTGACTCATTCGTAGTCATGTGAGAAGATTCTTGGGATAAATTACAGAAGTAGAGTACCCAGGCCTACTCGGATAACGTTCTTGCTTGCCGCGGGGTTCCCACAGACGCAGAGACAGGAACGACCAGAAGCCGCCGGTTGCCGATGCAGACGCTCCTTGAATTTTTTCTTAAGAGCAGGTTTGAATTCAGAGTTTTCCTTCTCCTAGACTAGTTGCCATCCAAGGCTATAGAACCCAGTCTGTCCTGCTATTTACCCATAGCTGGAGGGAGAAGAAGAGGATTCGCACCTTTCCCAAGGCTGTTAGCACGTAAGTGAAAGTAATGGATTCGACTGGAATTCGAATTCGGCTCTCCGATTCCTCAATCCAAGCCGCTATCCACTACTCCACCGTGCCTCCTTAAGACCTTCATATAAATCCAAAACGCCATTACTCCCTCATCCAATGATTTTCCTTTGTTTTTATCACGTGACGGCACCTCTGAACTAAAATCTAAAAATTAAGTAACAAATTCCATATGACGGTAGCTTGTCTTTCACCTTCAGCAAGCCTGCCCCATTCTAAATTTGAGCTGTATCCCACCTGAAGGTAAACATATGTCTTCCTTTTTCCGTATATTTAAGCTGTAAACTATAATACTGGACGGGGTAATTTACACGCAAAAAATGTAAATGCAATGTCAATCGTTATCTTCTATCTTCTTAAGACCTTTTTCTTTTATTCTTGCCCCATTTTTCATAGTATTTCTCTCATATTCTCTGACATTCAGTAAGCCCTTGTGTCTTAGTGGCTTTATTGCCTTGTTTAGAATGAAAGGATTAATAAAGATATCTAAGCCGTAATAATGACCATAATTTTGCTATGTGGCATAACATTCCTCCCCTGTAGCAATGAATGTTAAAAATCGCCTCTCAGGTGAAGAACATATTTGAAGCAACAGAAATGTTCACGACTGGAAGATGCTGAGAATACTACGGAACGGACATATGAGCAACGACGAAATTTTAGATAACACTAGACTATCCCTGAGCCGTTGGGTCAATGACAATTCAGGTTAACAAACATTGAAGTTGATTTCAACATTAAAATATTGCCTGTTTGAAGAAAGTTGAAATAAAAATATTTACTGCATAAACAACTCGCATTTTAAAATCTTATTCACTTAATATATTTTTTTTTAAAATCAGGTTAACTTAAAAATATTTCTTAATGTGCCAAAAAATATTTTTTAAATCCTATTCACTTGAAAATATTTTTAAAAATGACAAAAATATTTTTTTAAATATTTAAAATAGTGTTTGTTTAAAGAAAGCTAAAATATAAATAATTACTGGACAAAACAGCAGAGCGGGATCTCTTTGTGTCTGTCTTTTTTCTTGGCTGAGGAGGAAATTACGTAAGTCGTTAATGATTGGTCGCTTGTAATTTCAAGATAAGCAGTGGCAGTTATTTAATGAGTCCATTTGTTGCGTGCTTGGCTGATTTTTGCTTCAGGATCGCCTGCCGGAATAGTACTATTTCGGTAGGGTCTCTTGGGCAAACAAAATTGCGAGACCCGAAACATGTCATGATCCCAAGTCATAACATCACTGACTAGGCGATGCTGTGCACTCATTGTAGTGTTTTCATGACAAATTAAAATATTTTAATTAAAAAAACTGTTTGAAGAAAGTTAAAATAAAAATACTTACTGTATAAACAAGTTCGTAAATCATTATGCGCCGGACGAATTCAATCACAGAGAGGTGGAAAGAAAGAGAGACAGAGGGGGACAGAGAGAGGTGGAAAGACAGAGAGAGGTGAAAAGAGAGAGAGAGAGAGAGGTGGTAAGGAACTTAAATCATTATGCAATCAAAGAGAGGTGGAAAGAGAGAGAGAGGTGGAAAGAATAATGTGGAAAGAGAGAGAGAGGAAGGAGAGAGAGAGAGAGAGTGGAAAGATAGAGAGGGTTGGGAAGATAAAGAGATTGGAAAGGGAGAGGTGGAAAGAGACTTAAATCATTATGCGCCGGACGAACGACGTACCACGCAAGCACGCAATCACAGACTTTTAATATTAAATAGATGGAAACCAAATGAGCACTTATACTTAACATCATCAGAAAAAGACAGTTGAAATCTCTAGAGCATATAATAAGGAAATAGGCATTGGAAAATTTGCTCAAATTGAAGGCAATAGGTTCAGGGGAAACAAAGCATAACTACCTATCAAGCTTGTGTAAACGGATGGTAGAACAGGGTTTAGGAGAGATAACAAAACGAGAAAAATGTTAAGAGCTAGAAAGGAGAGGAAATTGTGGAGAGCCACGAACTACAACATCCTAAAGGGACACGGCACATAGAAGTAGAGGCAAGACATTTGCAATACATGGAAACAAAAGAAAGCATCGGTTTAATCTGACGCCAGATGGATATAGTTTTGTCAAACTGTTGTCTTTAAAAGAGTCTATTTGGAAGTACCTTATTTCGCATTTCAATCTATATTATTAAAAGAATGGCAAAATAAATAAAAAAATCTCGTGACGCGTTTCGTTCCGAGAAAGAACCTCTTCAGACTAATAAGAGTTTTATTGATAAGATCAGTCTTATACACTGCGTGCCAAATTATTATCGAGATAACTTTTTTGTAATATTTCAAAAATCGTCCAATCAATTCACACAAAATTTTCACACAATGTTGGCAACACTGAGATGCGCAATCACTGAAATTTTCGTATTGATCCGCGCAATGTAAACAAATTGGCGCCATATTAGTTATCAGCACGGTGATTTGAGCGTGCCAAATTATAGTTCTAAAAATATAAAACCGAGAAAATGATCGCTTAAAAAATAAAAATGTTTAAAGATTTCAAAACATGAAAAATGTTCCCGAAAACTAAAATACGCTTTCTAAGACAAATTTTTAAGACAATCGTATTTGTTCTTTTATAGTGGCCTATCAGTTATAGTGAAGCGTATGAGTGTTGAAACAGATTAGTTTGATTTGGCCTTGTTAGTTAGATAGCCCACCATAAGAAGGGTGTAAAACAAGAAAATTAAATTGTAAAGTGAAACAACAAATGTATATACATATAAATCAATTTAGGTCTCTACAAATAAAATTAATGTATTTTGGTTGATACAATGTCGTCAAAATGTTCGTAGTAGTCCTTGCAAGAATGAGTTTATGTGTACGTAGGCAGGAACGTATGTGTGGATGTATGTATGTATGTATGAGCGTTATCGTAGGGTAGGAATGTCTTTGAAGTAATTGCTCAGTCTTAAAATGTTCCGTTCGTTTATCAAGGATGAAAGAGGTGAGGAAGAAAGGTAGAGATAATAATAACGCTCGCTTGACTTGTTAATATGCTCGTCTCTTCCTCTCTCTCTCTCTCTCTCTCTCTTTCTCTCTCTCTCTCTCTCTCTCTCTCTCTCTCTCTCTCTCTCTCTCTCTCTCTCTGGTGACAAGCGAACTTGCCCGGCTTTTATTTTGTTTGTGGGGCTTGAAAAGGTCATTTGGGAATTCACTCCCGGATATGATTCGAGCCTTTCCATTGGATGACAGACAAAACTTCGCGTCGGCTAGCGAAAAGATCCGTAAAAGAATTTGTTTCTGAGAATCAAAGATTATTTGAATTTTGTTTTTAAATGTTTCCTAATTTTCTATTGGCCGAAAAACATTTCGCATCAAGGTGTGAAATTTCACGAGTTTTGTTTTGGATTCGCTTTTGCGTGTGTGTTAAGCAAAGTTTGTAAATTCGAGTCTTTTTAATTTCTAACAAAATCAATGAGTCAGTGTTTAGCATTTGAATTTTAAATCTAGATCTTGTTTTGTTAACTACGCTCTTTTGTAAAAAATAAAAATATTCTGAGAATCACATGAAGTCAAATCTATGCATTTTGTGTGTCGGGGATGTTTTATCATACATTTTTTGTTGGAAAATTTGTAAAACCTTTTTTTTTACAGCGGAGGTGTGTCGATGATTAATTTTTATGAATATGTAAAAATTTTCAACTTAAACTTTTTTTCGAGGATAATTCAGTCATAAAATTATTGGTAGTTATTAAAAAAGAAATAATATTTTCTCAGTTTTTTTTTTTTTATAATAAAAATCCTATTCATTATAAAAGTAAATAATGAATGAATATGGCCTGAAATTTTAATTTGAATTGGTTAATTCTCTGATGTTTGGTAATTATTAGGTTGGTGCAAAAATAATGACGTAATAATGTCGTTTTTTGAGGTTAAAAAATACGTCACAAATCGACATTATTACGTCATTATTTTTGCACCAACCTAATAAAAAAACGCTGCCCTTCCTCGTCAATTTTCCTTTGACGGTTTGTGGCCCCCAGGTTGGGAAATTCTGAAATCGACATTTAGTAGAGATTGGTAGGGGCGTATCAAAATTTCGTGTATTTCATCTGCAGGGCCGGTGCTCGGGACTCATCTCCCAACACTTTTACTCTCTGTAACCCCTCTGTATACTAGTGGCATTCCTGCCTTGCTTAGGGTGAAACCATTAAAAAATGCCCCCCTCTAATTCCAGACGCTTACTCAAAGCTTTCCAAAGGTATTACTACACCAAGTGATCTATTTTAATGTATCCCGCCTTACGACCACATCACTATTACAAGTGTACCCATGCCTGAACGTATAAAACAGATGTGCCCCATGGTTGAGCAGATCTTTATATTGACAACCTTTGACTAATAAAAGCTCGTCAATTGTCTCTTTAGAAGAACGATAGAGATTCAGTGTTGAACGGTGATATTTATTGACACTGACAATTATAAAGTTATCAATGTTTGATTCTAGAACAGAACATCTGAGTGTCACAGCTGAAGAGAGCTTTGGAATAACAAGGCATTCTTGCTTTGATAGAAGCTTGTCAATATTTGGCTCTGCGAAAGTAAGGCAGAGACTTAGAGTTCCACAGAAAGGTGTATTG